AACTCAGAGCTAGCTTTAGACCATGATACAACGCCCACAGTTCAGCCACCAAAATCTCCCCAAGACCCAAATTAGCAGAAAAACCTGCTACCCACTCACCAACAGAATTGCGAATAAGGCCCCCAGCAGCAATAGCGCCACTAGAACCAATTCTAGACCCATCAATATTCAGTTTCATGGTAGAAACAGGGGGAGGCTTCCACGCCAGCAAAGTTTGCATCTTGAGCCTATGGACCCCACCCTTATTATTAGCAAAGTCCCATTCCACAAGAAACCTCAAAATCCATTCATTGGGTGGATCAGGATAGTGGAAGGAAGAGTCAAAGACAGAGCAGCATCTCCATTTCCATATGAACCAGCAACCAGTCGCAAAAATATTACACCATCTCAAGTTGAAAGAATTAACAACAGCAGTTTTTAGGTTTAAACGCAACCAACAATTAAAGTCAGTAGCAAAGGATACCTTAACACAATCAGGTAAGGAGAAGGAGTTCCATATTGCTTGAGCTCGAGGACAACGGATGAACACATGCTGAAGCGATTCCATATGGCAATGACAAAACGGACAAGCTGAATTATTTGTCATTTTTCTTCTTGTTCTCTGTACATTGGTCAGAATTTTATTTTGGGATAATAGCCACAGAAACACTTTTAGTTTGGGAGGAATCTTAAGCCGGTTCGGCCGGATTGATGCCCACCCCTACTAACTAATTTGACTAAGCTCATTTATGCGCCCATGTTAATCTTTTAGAAGCAGAATTTATTTCATTTTGCTCGAAACTAATTAAATAAATTAATTGACGTTAGCGTACGTGAACGTTTGGTCCAACCAAAGTGTAAAATTAGGTTTTAGACATAGATAACTTTACTTATTAGTATTTAAGACATTTGCTATTTTGGTTTGGGTTTTAATACCTATAAAAGAATTGTTATTTTGGATTAGGCCAAAGAGTCACTAAAAGGACAATTACACCCTTTTCATTTAAAAGCCTAACCCAAATTCATTAGTTTCTCATATATATATATACCAAAAGGGGACTAGAGCCTAGAATCTAGAAGAACTAAATTCAAAAGGACTTTTAACTAGTAATAGACGGAAGACTTACCTCTGTTTCCCTTTGTTACAAAATTTTCACTTTCGTTTCTTACACAACTCTATTTCTCTGGATCGAAGCGCTTCCAATTTCTTCCGGTTTCTGCTTTCCGCGGATGACTTACAAAGCTTCAGGCCCTTTCCTCTAGCTCTCATTCTAACCCGGTTTGCTCTCTCTCTCTCTCTCTCTCTCTCTCTCTCTCATCGTCTTTTATTTCGTGTATCTATATTTGCATTCAATTGTTGATATTTGGTATCGATTTATGTTTCTAGATTAATGGGTTTTTGGATCTTATTTTTATGGAAGTGGTCAATATTATTAAAATTTGATGTTTTTGTATCATAACTGATATATAGATCACACGATTGTAAGTATGGATTTGTGATGAACTGTTGTAAATATGTTGATTTTTTGTGCGGATTTGAACAAATTATATACCACCATCTGTTTGGATGAAGAGAAAATTGAGTGAAAGTTCGATTGATGGTGTGAATTTGGCCTCTGTTTTGTGATTTCGTTCTTTGGCTGCCCAGTTATTGAATTGGCCTCTGTTTGTTTCAGTTTTTTAAACAGAAACTGAATTGCAGTTTCTGGTTTCATAAACTGCATTTAGAAGTGTATGGCAATGTTACAACTGCTTAAATGTGTTTTGATATTAGTTTTAGTAGTTTTAGTACTTTGAACATGGCTTTCTTTTGGTTTGTATTCAAATTTGAGCACATGTTTTGTCTTAAACTGACTCTGTTTTAACCATTGATTGTTTATATAAATATTGTATAACTGAATAAATATTACAAAATCAAGTTTGATGTAGTGGTTTGTGAGTGTGCCTTCCTCCTTTGTGGGACAAGGTTCAAGTCCATTCAATGACACAAATTATTATTTTTTAAAGGTGAATAAAGAGTAACGGAGTTGGTCCCCGGAAAAAGGTGGCAGGCCGGCGATAGGTGGCCGGCAGCAGGATTCCGACGGGGTTCCGGCGGCGGTGGCCGGCACGCGAGATTGGTGTGGTGATTGGCTAGATATTTTGTAAATTTGAAATAAAATATTGAAACATGAAAATAATGGCATAATGGCATATGTTGTAATTTTAAAGTTCTTTAATTATATTTTGGTAAAAGCAGGTACTATATTTTGACTTTTGGCTTTATCCTAATTAGCTGAAATTGAATTCCTATTTACCTAAATAGTAAACTATATTGTGTGTGAAAACTAAAGCTCCCTTGTTTTTAAAACTTTCTATGAAACACAAATTTCTACTTTCAATGTTAACTTTGGCATGATGAACTTAGATTTGAATATATTAAGGGCCCGTCTGGTAATGTTTTCGGAGAGTGTTTTCTGAGAATATTTTCAGAGAATGAAAACAAGAAAACGAATTTGCATTTTCAGGAAATGAAAATGCATCTGGTAGATTAATTAGAAAACATCTTCAGAAAACAAAAACAATGAAAACGTGTCTGATAGTATAATTTGAAATAATAATATGTGAGTTATTTTTATGAAAATGTTTTCCACGAGAATGAAAATAACTTTTTTTTGTTTTCTACAAGTACACATGAACTTGTTTTCATTTTATGAAAACATTCTCAGTGTTTTCTGTTTTTGGGCCACCGAACGTTTTTTTGCCTCATTTTTGTTCTCTGAAAATGAAAACAACCTCTTAAAACGTTACCGAACCGGCCCTAAATTCCTGCGTCTTTGCACTGGTTTTGAATACCCAACGTCCAATGATAATTTATTTTATTGAAATCTGCACTATGCATAGGGCAGTGTAATATCTGAAAATACAGAATCTCTATATCTTCACTTAACCCAAAGCTGAGTTCTTGAGGGGGTTGGCTTTGCATTTTTCCTCTCCACTGAGTGAGGCCTAATACAGATCTGAGTTCAGAGACCTTTATATCTTTATTAATTATTGTTACATTTTTATAAACAAAACAAAAAAAGAAGATATATACAATCGAATTTCATTGAGTACTAGATAATTAAGGAGTGCTAGTATCTGTCAACAACACGTAGTCACGTACTGTATTCATCCTGAATTATAAAACCCCATCTTGCGCCTAAGAATTTCCCATTGTTTTGGTTTAAATAGAAAACCGTTGATTAAATAAAAGTTTATTTTAAGTTTCCTCTACTCCCACTAAATGCAAATACAATCCTAGGGTTGTGAGAGTATCCGCAATGGGCTCCCTAAACCACCTCCTTAGACAAATTTTAGGGAGGAATTGTAAAAATGCAACTCCAACCATGCTCCCTATCCACCTCCTAAAATAGGGAGTCCTCTAGGAGCTCCTAAATCTGAGGAGAGAGAAAGTACTCCTAGTGGCTCCCTATAATTTAATACTGCCTTATTTAATGAGTATTTCAAACCTTTATTTAATGCTAACTATTTTTTATTTTATTTTTTAATAGAGATGGACCAATCAAAAAAGAGTTATAACATTTATGACTCTTCAAATTAGGGAGTATGGTAGGAGTTGAAATTTTTTAGAGAGCTCCTAAAATAGCTTTCTTATATTTTTTGCTAAATTTTAGCTAAGAAATAGAGAGCATCATTGCAGATGCTCTGATCAATCTACCCTAGGAGAGAAAGGGTAAACCCGCCAATCTAAGGGCTTGAATTTAGTGGAAATTTTGATTTTAGTGGACAGTGGACCCAGATACTTGTCATTAATGTTAAACAATGATAGTATAATTTGAAATAATAATATGTGAGTTATTTTTATGAAAATGTTTTCCACGAGAATGAAAATAACTTTTTTTTGTTTTCTACAAGTACACATGAACTTGTTTTCATTTTATGAAAACATTCTCAGTGTTTTCTGTTTTTGGGCCACCGAACGTTTTTTTGCCTCATTTTTGTTCTCTGAAAATGAAAACAACCTCTTAAAACGTTACCGAACCGGCCCTAAATTCCTGCGTCTTTGCACTGGTTTTGAATACCCAACGTCCAATGATAATTTATTTTATTGAAATCTGCACTATGCATAGGGCAGTGTAATATCTGAAAATACAGAATCTCTATATCTTCACTTAACCCAAAGCTGAGTTCTTGAGGGGGTCAGCAGTTTCTGGTTTCATAAACTGCATTTAGAAGTGTATGGCAATGTTACAACTGCTTAAATGTGTTTTGATATTAGTTTTAATAGTTTTAGTACTTTGAACATGGCTTTCTTTTGGTTTGTATTCAAATTTGAGCACATGTTTGGTCATAAACTGCCTCTGATTTTCAGTTTTTTTGTATGCAGTTTCTGGTTTCATAAACTGCATTTGGAAGTGTATGACAATGTTACAACTGCTTAAATATGTTTTGATATTAGTTTTAGTAGTTTTAGTACTTTGAACATGTCTTTCTTTTGGTTTGTATTCAAATTTGAGCATATGTTTTGTCATAAATTGCCCTGTTTTTCAGTTTTTTCGCAGATCTGGTTTCATAAACTGCATTTTGAAGTGTATGGTGATGTTACAACTGCTTAAACTGTTTTCATTTACTTACAAATTTTTTGTAGCTCTTTTTATTTTTGTTTTTGTTTTTGTTTTAACATAATTGATATCTACATTGTATTTTTGTTGTAGTTTCTGTTTTTATTTGCAGTTTTTGTGTGAATAAGTGTTGAAATGATTTTTTTTTTAACCATAGATTGTTTATATAAATATTGTATAACTGAATAAATATTACAAAATCAAGTTTGGTGTAGTGGTTTGTGAGTGTGCCTTCCTCCTTTGTGGGACAAGGTTCAAGTCCATTCAATGACACAAATTTTTTTTTTTTTAAAGGTGAATAAAGAGTAATGGAGTTGGTCCCCGGAAAAAGGTGGCAGGCCAGCGACAGGTAGCCGGCAGCAGGATTCCGATGGGGTTCCGGCGGCGGGGTTCCTGTGGCGTCTGGCGGCGGTGGCCGGGGCGCGAGATTCCGGTGGTGGTGTGGTGATTGGCTAGATATTTTGTAAATTTGAAATAAAATATTGAAATTTGAAAATAATGGCATAATGGCATATGTTGTAATTTTAAAGTTCTTTAATTATATTTTGGTAAAAGCAGGTACTATATTTTGACTTTTGGCTTTATCCTAATTAGCTGAAATTGAATTCCTATTTACCTAAATAGCAAACTATATTGTGTGTGAAAACTAAAGCTCCCGAGAAAGGCAAGTTTTTTTTAGCTCCCTTGTTTTTAAAACTTTCTATGAAACACAAATTTCTACTTTCAATGTTAACTTTGGCATGATGAACTTAGATTTGAATATATTAAGGGCCCGTCTGGTAATGTTTTCGGAGAGTGTTTTCTGAGAATATTTTCAGAGAATGAAAACAAGAAAACGAATTTGCATTTTCAGGAAATGAAAATGCATCTGGTAGATTAATTAGAAAACATCTTCAGAAAACAAAAACAATGAAAACGTGTCTGATAGTATAATTTGAAATAATAATATGTGAGTTATTTTTATGAAAATGTTTTCCACGAGAATGAAAATAACTTTTTTTTGTTTTCTACAAGTACACATGAACTTGTTTTCATTTTATGAAAACATTCTCAGTGTTTTCTGTTTTTGGGCCACCGAACGTTTTTTTGCCTCATTTTTGTTCTCTGAAAATGAAAACAACCTCTTAAAACGTTACCGAACCGGCCCTAAATTCCTGCGTCTTTGCACTGGTTTTGAATACCCAACGTCCAATGATAATTTATTTTATTGAAATCTGCACTATGCATAGGGCAGTGTAATATCTGAAAATACAGAATCTCTATATCTTCACTTAACCCAAAGCTGAGTTCTTGAGGGGGTTGGCTTTGCATTTTTCCTCTCCACTGAGTGAGGCCTAATACAGATCTGAGTTCAGAGACCTTTATATCTTTATTAATTATTGTTACATTTTTATAAACAAAACAAAAAAAGAAGATATATACAATCGAATTTCATTGAGTACTAGATAATTAAGGAGTGCTAGTATCTGTCAACAACACGTAGTCACGTACTGTATTCATCCTGAATTATAAAACCCCATCTTGCGCCTAAGAATTTCCCATTGTTTTGGTTTAAATAGAAAACCGTTGATTAAATAAAAGTTTATTTTAAGTTTCCTCTACTCCCACTAAATGCAAATACAATCCTAGGGTTGTGATAAATCTACCCTAGGAGAGAAAGGGTAAACCCGCCAATCTAAGGGCTTGAATTTAGTGGAAATTTTGATTTTAGTGGACAGTGGACCCAGATACTTGTCATTAATGTTAAACAATGGCATAAGTTCCAGTGTAGTTTTGAATGGGACCAACGTGATCATATCTGGGAGGGAGGGATTTTGTAATCTGTGAATCCTCGCTGAGGAATATTGTTCGTATTAAATTGATTAATTACATATTGTCAGATCAATTTTTAGTGGGTTTCTGCAGAAATTAGGAGGGTGTATTCAATTACGATTTTAATAAATTGTAATCACATGATTTTAATATAATGAATTTCAGCAGGATTTGTAATTACAAGATTTTACTTATGATTTTTAATAGACTGTAATTACATGATTTTCTTATGATTCACTTGGGACTTTTTTGTATTCTCCAAAGAATCAAAAGATTTGCTCTAGGATTTCATATGAAATAATCATATAATAACATGATTAATTATGCCACACAGATAAATAACCAAATGATAAAAGTAATAACAATAACGTCATGTAGCAACTAGATATGGCTAAAGAAAAACAAAAGTTATTCAAGACGTAATACACATTTGTTAGAGCTTCATCTCCTCATATGACCTAGATAGCATCTCTCCACATAGCATATATAACTTGATAAACTTTCATTAATTGATTGGTATGCAAACCCTTGATTATTTTTCATGTTCTAGAGGCCCTTTTTGGGATTTTATCGGAATTGCTGGACGAGTGAGTTCACATTCGGATTTTATATAAAGAAAACAAAACAAAGATCTATAGTTATTCTTATTCGAATCATCATTCTCCAGTTTTTACAAAAGTAAAATATTATTTTATGAAATAAATGTTAAATAAAAAGAAAAATCAATCCTAAAGAATGAGGCAGTGCGCAACAAACCAAAAACACCCAAACTATCAATCGTACAGATTGGTTTCTTCTTCTATGTCTGTTTCACACTCTTATTAATAATTGATAA